GACAATCGTTTCATGTCGGCGTTTTGGACTGCTCTCATGCAGGAGTCCGGCACAACAATGAAACCAAGTTCGGCTCGACATCCTCAGATAGACGGGCAGACGGAGCGGGCACATCAAACCGCTCAAATGATGCTTCGTAYGCTCATTCGTCCGGACCAGAAAGATTGGGTTGACCGCCTCCCCGACATCGAGTTCGCCTACAACACTTCGGTGCACCCGGCGATCGGCGTGACTCCATTCGAGTTGCACCACGGTGGACKGAAAGRCCGCATCTTCGCYGACCTTCTCCTCCSTCGACCAGCCGACATTGACGCCGCTTGCTCCCCCGCTTCCGTTTGGAAGTACAGGGACTTGCTGACTCAAGCCCGCGCAAATATGCAAAAGGCTCAAGTTCGCATGCAACAGCAAGCCAACAGGCGTCGTACCATGTCCCATCCGCGCCGGTGATCTGGTTTCGGTCTCCGCGGAAGAGTTTGCACTGGAACAGGACGTTTCAGGCAAATTGCTTCTCAAGTGGTTTGGACCTTGGTCTGTGACAGCAGCCGCGGGCGATGAGCCCGATGGCCCTTCAGTTGTGATCAACATTCCAGAGCATCTGACGGTCCATCCGGTCTTCCACGCCTCGAAGCTGGCAACATACATGCCAGCCAAGAGCGACGACTTTCCGGGCCGACGATCGCAGGACCCTCCTTCTATGGATGGCCATCAAGAAGTTGACCACGTCATCACCGATCGCAAGTACGGCAGCAAGCCGCGGCAGTACAAAGTCACATTCAAAGCATGCGATCGCGACGACACTCGGTGGATTTCAGGAGCAGATTTGAAAGCATCCGCAATGCTGATCTACGCTCACTATAAACATCAAAGGTTAGCCAAGGGACCTCCACGACCTGCCCCTCCCACCCGTACTGTGGTCCCTCCCTCAGACAGACAGCTTCGCCCTCGCAGGTAAGCTCGCTCTTTCAAGGAGGGGGGGGTGTGGCAGACTGCGTAGCCACACGGGCCCTGTACGACCCGTCCCGGACATTCAGCCTTAAAGCCTAAAACTTAGGAGCTACAGGCCCCGGTCGTTTCAGCCTGAAAACTGAAAAACGAGGGCCTGCAGGCCCTACTCCGTTTCAGCCTATTTCTGGGTCTTTCAGACCCAGAGTTTTTCCAGCCTGAA